GCAGGAGAAGCAGTGTGTCGAGCTTTATGGCAGAGTCGATTGAAGAGATCGGCATGGAACCCGTGGCAAGGGATACTTCCCACGGCAGAGCGATGAGTGTCGAGACGAGTCTTCCGACAGCGAAGCAAAGTAGCGCAGAAGCAACGCAAGCTGGCCCCCTGCCAGGGGAGGAGACAGTGACCAGGCAGAAGCAAGAAAGCGCTAGATCTAGCCGGAGAAGCAGCGTGTCGAGCTCTGTGGCAGAATCGATTGAAGAGATCGGCGTGGAACCTCTGGCAAGGGGCAGAGCGTTGAGTGTCGAGATGGCTCCTCCGACCGCGAAGGAAAGCAGTGCAGAAGCAGCACAAGCTTGCCCTTTGCCAGGGGAGGAGCCAGTAACCAGCGAGAAGAAAGACGACAAGGAAAGTGCTAGATCCAGCCGGAGAAGCAGTGTGTCGAGCTTTGCGGCAGATTCGATTGAAGAGATCAGCATGGAGCCCGTGGCAAGGGATACTTCCTACGGCAGAGCGATGAGTGTCGAGATGAGTCTTCCGACAGCGAAGCAAAGCAGCGCAGAAGCAACGCAAGCTGGCCCCTTGCCAGGGGAGGAGACAGTGACCAGGCAGAAGCAAGAAAGCGCTAGATCCAGCCTCAGAAGCAGCGTGTCGAGCTCTGTGGCAGAATCGATTGAAGAGATCGGCGTGGAACCTCTGGCAAGGGGCAGAGCGTTGAGTGTCGAGATGGCTCCTCCGACCGCGAAGGAAAGCAGTGCAGAAGCAGCACAAGCTGGCCCCTTGCCAGTGGCGGAGCCAGTGACCAGGGAGAAGAAAGACGAGAAGGAAAGCGCTACATCCAGCCGGAGAAGCAGCGTGTCGAGCTTTGCGGCAGAATCGATTGAAGAGATCAGCATGGAACCCGTGGCGCGGGACAGCTCCTACGGCAGAGCGATGAGTGTCGAAATGGCTTTTCCGACAGCGAAGCAAAGCAGTGCAGAAGCAGCGCAAGCTGGCCCCTTGCCATTCGAGGAGCCCGTGACCAGGCAGAAGAAAGACGAGAAGGAAAGCGCTAGATCCAGCCGGAGAAGCAGCGTGTCTAGCTCTGTGGCAGAATCGATTGAAGAGATCAGCATGGAACCTGTGGCACACCAGGGATATCAGGACTTGATGGCACCTCAGCACTTACCACGCACCGGTGGTTCACAGGAACCACGTGTTTTGTCTGGCATATTTGCTGATGACCTGGAGGAGATCAGTGTGGAGCCGGTGCTTGCCACGGGAAGGGTTGTCCAGGCCCAGATGAGTAACACCCAGCACCATACTTCTTTCTCCGACAAGGCGTTCGGTGCCGAAATGGCTGCGGGGCTTTCGCTGAAGCAAGACGGCGCAGAAGAAGCACAAAGCTCCTTGGCAGGGGTGCCGCCCGCGACCAGAGAGAAGAAAGACGAGAAGGAGGGTGCTGCGATGAGCAGCCAGAGAAGCAGCGCGTCGAGCTCTGTGGCAGATGCAATTGAAGAGATCAGTATGGAACCCGAACCCGCGACGAAACGCATGTCGTCGGACCTGCTGGAACATCGGCAAGCTGCGTCCAACGGTCCACTCGAGCAGCTTTTTGCAACACAGGATTCTGGTGCTTCGACGCTTGAAAGTGTTGCGAAATATGATGCTGGCTTGAACAGGTCGCAACAAGGCCGCGCAGACGGAGCCGGTATCTCAAGCAGACAGGAAGCCATCACAGCCCGCAGCTGCAGCAGCAGCGGGGCCAGCAGCACAGACATGAAATGTCCAGAGCCTGAACCTGCACCACGCAAGCAAGACACTTGCCTGCAACATGCACTCTTTTGCCTAACTCGTTTGTACCCGCCCATCACCATGTTCGAACTATCAAGGCCCCTTACCCTAGACGAGACTCAGGCGGCTCCTGGCGGCTGCCCGAACCTCGGAAAGCTCTCGTCCACAGACGACGCCGGTGGCGGCAGCACTCCGGTTCTGGGCAGTTTCGATTAGATCCCAAAAATGCACAACTACCCTGTGTAAGCACTCAGAGGCGCAGGGTTCAGCAGCCTTAAGCATCGCCTCTCTCGCTATCCTCCGGACTTTCGAAGTCAGTACTATTTTGATGACAATGGCACAATGAGAGTTCGTATGGTGTGAGCACCATCATCTTCAGCGTCATCAGAACAGCCCTCATGACTTTGACCATCGTCACCTGTATCTACATTGGCATCCCCATCATGTCGGTCATGTCTGTTGATCTTTGTCTTATTGTCACGCCGGTCACCACCAGCACCCGGACCACTAAATATCCACACTAGCATCATCATCATCATCATCATCACGAGCGTCATCATCAGCACCATCGGAGGTACTCGGTCACAATGAATTTGCGAGTTCACGGTCAGGTGCACCCCAGTCCGATGGAGACTCCTCATACACGTACGAAGAGGACGGCGGCAGCTCCGCGATCAACGGCGATGGATTTGTGCCAAACAGCAACCATGGCGTGGCAGCCATCGCTAGCAGCATGTGATACCATAGTATGGAACCACTCTTCCATGTCAAGCTTGTTTGCAACAGCTTACAATTCCCAAAGTATCCTCAAGACACCTTGCCGAAGATGCATCTTATGCAGGAAGAGGAGGAAAGCCCAGATGAGGCCTGTGGTGTCTTTTCTGAAGGGACGAAAGTGCTCAGGCTGGTCGTACTGTAGAAATTCGCAAGACGAGCTTCCGCGTCGGGGAAGATGTTGCACCTGAGAAACTGCCAAGCTGCAGGATGACAGCAGCTCCGAGCTCAGGGTCTCAGGGTCTCGTTTCTGGGAGTTCTCTCCGCCTCCATCCTTGTTGGCCCAGAGGAGTCTCGAAGCGGGTTGGCTTGTACCTATAGTCTCCATTGTAGTTCCTTTTTGGGGATACCTTATAAAATCCTTATTACATTATTGGTTAAACCAAAAAAAGGAACTACAATGGAGACTACAGGTAGAGCTCAAGTCGCACATCTCTCAATCAGTGGCAGTACACCTTGAGACGAGGTGTGCCGGATGCTGTTGTCGCCCTGGAGCACATGGTGTTCCTGACATGTTTGCATCACGAAGCATCTCGGTCATCTACTTGCAGTTTGTAGCCCTTGCACACTTCTGGGCTAGAAGCGATGAGATTGATCCGACAGTGGTAAGCTGGACGAAAATCATTTTCAAGACTTAACACTGTGCACTATTGTGAGGGATCGTCGTCGTCAAGGCGGCAATGACAGTTCCCACCATCTTCAAATTCTTACCTCACTAGCCATCGGAATCAACACAAGCATCATCGTCACCGCTCCATCATCGCCATCATACTCTGCAGAGGACAGTGTCCAGCCTTTGCCGGCATCTCTGGGCTGTCAGGACTCTTCTTCCGGTTCAAGCTCGGGGGGAAGGCGGGCTTCATGGCAGTGGCTGCAGGTCTGCAGTGGTTTCCGATTGAAGATCGAGAGTTGCTCTTTCGACTTCCCAAGTTGGGTTTCTTTGGAAAAGTGACAATTATTATAATTATGACTAATCTTTCTATGATTACTAGTATTACCGTTATTACTATTATTACTAGTTTAGGATTTAGAATCTTTGATTCTTCCCAGGTCGCAACGTCCGGGACAGGCGCGCATTTTGGACACCGAATGAGTGGCCGACAAGCTGCGCTGGAAATCTAGCTTTGGTATTCATAGCCTGGAATCTATTCTGGAGACCTCTTGATCCAATATTCTTCGATTTCGTCATATTTATGTGCTTTATAAGAGATATATCTTTCGATTAATAAGAAATATATTTAGAAAGATTATATTTGCGGATTATATGAAATAAATTTATAGGAATTAAGATATTAGAATTTATTGATTTAATAATTATATTTAGATATCGTAAGACTTATGAATATTCCGAGATGAAATTCTTTGAGAGAAACTCATTTCTTGGAAATAAAAAGAATAGGTAGTAATATTTGAATAGGAGAAATTTTATTAATTATTTTTAATTTTTGAAAGGTGATAGATTATATTTTTTATTCATATTAATATAATTTAAAAAACTATAATTTTTCTCATATATTATAATCTCGATATAATATCGAGAAATTAATTTCTTTTCCTTATAAAATTATCGAAAACTTAATAAATAGATAAGGATTAATAAATATTGAACTCAATTCTCTATATATTTAATTCTCTATAAAAAATGATGAGTTATAGATAAAAATATATGAGAATAGGATCTATGGCCCGAATATTAGATATTTCGGAAGTTAGGTATTTTATAGGAGTAGAGTGGAGGTGGGCGAATAATTCTAGAAGGTTCCGTACTATTAGATTTTTTTTTAGAATAATTTCTATTATCTTAAGAAAAAAAAATATGATTGGATTGGAAAAAAAGAGACGCAAGCTATGATAATATATCGTCTATTTAGGGGCCGCCGCTTTCAAAATAAGATTATTAATTGAATCTATGGAAATGCTGAGTCTGAAGAAACTTCTGAAATTAAGCATAAGAATGCCTATTATTGAGGTATTGAACGATTCCGGGCAAAATAGCTTCGTCAATATTGACGTGAAGTTTGGTGTAGCCATGATAGCTATGCTAAATATGGAAGATGATATAGCCCAAGGCCTATATTTAGATATCAATTAGAGAGGCAAACAACTTGCCCGGGATAAGACAAAACTGATCAGAGGAAGACAGATCATTGCCATGATACATGAAAATTTCAGAATTCGTGATCGACTCGATATAATCGTATTTCTTGGCTTTTTCATCAAATTATAATGATAAGGGGATCAGAAGATGAATTTATTCAAGAAGATAGGCTCGGAGATTCTCGAGCGAATACGATCTGAAGATATTCTTTTAGAGATAGCATTCAGAGATATTTTATATAATCCATGATCAAGTATTCGCCAGCGCTGAAATAGGAGCTTTGCGTCCACTATGATATGCTGCCCTACGACGATCCCGAAAGATCATATTCAAGATTGATCCATATCATGGATAGATATATTCGGACGGATCGTAAATAGAAGAATCAGAGTCAGATCAATTCCGATCTTGATCAGATAATTTTGGGCACAGATATATTATCGGAATTTCCTATACAAATCAAAGGAGATAGAAAAGGTATAATAAATTAAGCTCAGAAGGACAAGAAGGACAATGAGACAGACAACGAGAACGTTACCCCAATTCTTCCTCAAAGCGAGGCCGAAATACATGCTAAGACCAAGGGCAACAAAGATAAGAATAAGGACAAGTCTAAAAAATAGAGGGAGAGATCCGAATTCATTGATGGAAGGCCGAATACGAAATATATTAGATATAAATTATTCTTTTACCGAATAGAATGAATTAAAAAATAGGGATAGATATCTATTCAGTATTTCAAAAAGACTCCAGAACGAGGACGAAGAAATCATCTCATTCGAAGGAGGATATTATTAAGAAATCTATTAATTGGAAATCATCAAAAGCAATATTTTCAATTCAAGAATATAGGAAGTTGAAAATAAGATAATTGTCCTTATATATATGTATCATATCTCCTATTCCAGCAGAAGGAAAAGTCGCGGCAAGGCGAAAGCCAAGACGAAGATAAATCTTGATGCCAAGGCAGTCATCAAATCCAAAGCTAAAACAAAGGATAAACCTCAACCTGCGACTCCAATGATCCGAATATTCAGAATATAGAATCCTTTGGCTCCGACTGACCGGAAGAAAATATATATTGAAGAAGATAAGGAATCCGAATCTTTATTAAATAACGATAATATCGATTCTGATTGATCTATTGATAATAAAATGATTGAAGCGTCTTCATCGGTCAGATCTCAAGAGATAAGATAGGATTCTTTTCAGCAAAGATATATGAATTCAGTCCTCAAGATCAAGAAGATCATATAAAAGTCGAGATACTAAAATAATCAAATTGGGCATGGTCGATTTCGTCGAGGACGGAAATCAGATCAATGAATGGGATTTCTCTATATTCAAAGCTCATTTGAAAATCCAGATAATGATTGATATAATCGAAGATGACAAGCCCGACGATCGATATATAAATGATCGCATATCAGATATTGATAATATCAAAAAGCTTATCTTCTTCGATAATGAAGATGAGATAAAGGAGATATATATCAATTCGTAGTAGATATTTGAAATTTAGTTTTGAAGAGAACAGACGTTATGATTTCTATTTATATTAGTGAGGTTATTGGATAGGTCTTTATGGTGGCGGAGCGCTTCTTATTAAGATTCTCAAAAATTTTTCGTATCTTTATGATGCCAAATTAATGATTTCTGGGAGGATTTGATTTCTATAAAGATTTGAATATTTAAAGAGTTAGTTCTTTCTAATGACTTTATTTGGATTCTTTTTGATTATTTTTGAAATATCTATAAATAAATTTCTAAATATTGATGAGATTTGAAGAATATAATTATAATTTTAAATAGACTAATTTATTCTATCAATTGTTCTTATTATTCGTAGCAACCAATATATTATAATTTAATTAATTATTCGATTTTATTCTATTGATGGATATATATTATTAATATATATATTTATATATTTCTATATTATATATATAATATTTGAAGAATATAATAAATATATTGGATATATATTATATATTTTAGATTCTAAAAAATTATATCAGATATATATATATAGAATATATATATAATTAGAATATCATATATATATATATAAAAGATAAATGATATTTTCTCATATATATATATATCTCTCTCTTTTTAAAAATAAATGATATAAGAAATAAATATATAATATTTTCTAGATCGATTTCATTATATTAAAAATTATGATCATCTCGTACGTAATGTAATTCGATATCTTTTTAGGAAAATCCCACCTCTATCCGATATTTTGAATTGAATAGATTTCAATTTTAATAGGCCCCAAAATCAGATCCCTTCCTTCTAATTCCTAAAAATCTTATTATTATCTTAGATCTGCCTTCGCAGAGATCTGTAGACCAAATCTGTGCCAAGATGCTTGTTGATTATTAATTTTTCGACTTCTGCAAGGGTCTATTCTCGAATTTTGAAATTATTTATGATATTTTGATTTATCGATTTTTATGGCTATTTTCGGACTTTCGGACTTTCTTATTCTTTTCAGATTTGCAGATATTATTTTTATATTTCGACTTTTCAATTATTTTCGGATTTTATCACTTTTCGAATCTTCTTATACTTATTGGATTTTCAATTTTTTCTATTTTCGATTTGTTAATTTTTTAAAGCTTCCGGATTTATCGTGTAAATTTTTTATTTTTTAGTTTTCAATTTTTTATATCTATTTCTCATTTATCTGCGCCTCAATCACTCGCAAATATAGCCGGATATAGATATAACAATATCTTCATATATATATATATATATGGAAATTATAGTTTCTA